GGTTTTAGAGCCCCGAGTTGATCCGGGAGGCTCTTGGCCGGCCGCGCGCTCTCTCGTTCTGGCAGGGACCCACCTGGACCCGCCGCATCCATCCAGCTTCAAACAGGAAACATTGGTGGGGAGAGGAGCTCCATGGGTGGCCACGGGGTGATGAAAGCCCCGCACGCTGCCAAGTCACTCGATGCGGGGAGGAAACAGTGACCAGGGAGGCTGAAAGTTTGGCCTTCCTCGATTCTTGTTGACTGAACTTTTTGGAACGGTGACAGGAGTCTGCTCCCAGCCGCGCGGAGCGCTTGCGAGCGCCGCAGCTCTTGATCCTGCGCACCTCGCGCCCGTACGGGAGGGCGCGCCGTGCCCGCGAGCTGACAGACGTCTGCGGCACTGCAAGGCCAGAGCTTCCTGGTAGGCTGTCCGCACGGCGAGCGGCCTCGGCGGTGACCCCGGGGCTCCTGGAACACACCAGGGTGCTGGACGGACAGACGTACCTGTAATACGTGCGCGTGCACACGCCCCTGGACACCGGCACTGAGGCAAACGTTTAGGTTGCAGAGTCGGGCCTTACAATCCGCTCTTTCTTTCCAAACGGTGGCAGTCGTCCACGCAACCTGAACTCGGCTCCCGCACGCCTAAGGACACTGCAGGATCCCAAGTGTATCGCTGCATTTGCCAATCCGCTATTAACAAACAGCCGCGGGACTCCCGACACGTACGGCTGGGACGTGGCCACTGACCGGGGCACGTACATGCCATGTATGACTCACTTTTTTTCCCCTGCAGAAAACCTAATTTTGGGAGGGGTTTTTCCAGCTGTGGAATGGACTCTTTGACCATCTCTTCACCCTGGACACTTTTAACATAAATTTCCAAGGTTGAGAATAGCTACGTGGGCTCAGCTCAGTCCATATCACATCCGAGACTCGACGCCCCGGCCCGCACCACCGTATGACAGACTGGCCCAAGGGACGGTCACGGCTCCCAACGACCGCTCTCGCGCCGAGCCCTGCCTTTGGGGCAGAGCTGTGGAGCACGCACCTCTATTTCCCAGGGAGACTGTTGAACTCTTAGCTTCAAACGAAACTACAAAAAAGCCCCTTCCGCCAACCAACCAAACCCTGAACAAATATCAGGGAGAGAAAACTGGTTAAAACAAACTTTTATTTAACAAATTATATTAAGAATACAGACTAAGTTATCACACAATGAAACTTCCCTTTGTAAAATACAGGAGGGCCATCTAAAATAAATATAAAAGGTAATAACATTCATAAGATTAATGCACAGTAAATTCACTTTCAATAGCCCAACAAAAATGCATAGCATCTTAAAAAACATTTTGCAACTGCATAAAAGGTTTCTCTTTTCCATTTTCATGATACGACAGTTAAACCGCTGCTGTCAGGAATTCATTTCACAATGAACGACCCAGAAATATTCAAGCAGTTTGGTTTCCCTGTATCCAATGAACAGAAGGAACTGAGCAGCACCGCACTGAGTTTTTAATTAGCAGAGGGTCGAGTTTCCCTAGCCGCAATCTTTTCCTAATTTTATGGCTCAGAACAACTAATATCGACATTTGTTCTCTTTCCGGCTCTCTCCGCTGCTGCTCGGAGAGCTCTGCTCTACGTTAGTTCTTCAAGGCTCGAAGGCTGAGGTAATATTTGAACGCAGCGATACACGATACCCTTCGCTACGAGAGAAACGCGCCCGTGCAGGGGCCGACGCGAGGCTCAGGCACCGCGTCAGTCCCGCTTGAGCCCTTGTTGCGGACACGGGGCCTAGTGCAGCCCCTCGGCCCGGGGGTCGCTCTACCCCACCTGCAACGGGGACGGCAGACCCTAAAGAAACGGCTGTGTCCTGGGGGGATGCCCCGGTCCAGGGGACACCCGGAGCTTGTCCGTCGGCAGAGCTCCTCTTGCTCCAGGACCCCACTGCTAGATGGCTCCGAGGCGCCCGAGCACCAGCCGCCCCGCAGCTCTTTGGCGAGAGGCTGCCCTGGCACCCGGCGGAGACGCGCCGGTCGTGGCCTGCGTCGCCGTCCCGATGAGACGCAGCCCCAGACCGAGTCTGTCGGGCGCCGGGGCTGGACCAAAGGGGCCTGCCACGGGGTGACGATCCTTCCTGGGATCACCCGGACAATCCGGTTCCTCCGGACGTCGCAGGGATGTTTAATGGGCAAACAACAGGGAGGAAGGGGCTGCCCTGGGTGAGGCAGGACAATGGGGATGGCATCTGCCCGGTCTGGGCATGGCATGCCCGTGTCCACCCCGTCCCGGGCCAAGAGGGGCTATCGGGTCGTGAACGGGGCACTGGGATCTCCAAGGCCCTGCCGCGAGCGCGCGAATGGCAAAGCGACCCGTGTCCAGCCGAACCTGCTCGAGCTCTTCTGAGAAACCGGTGGGGAAAAACCAAACAAACCCAACACCACAGACTACCACTGACACCTCACTAGCACACGGGCTCACAACAGGTCCCTCCTACAGCGCACGTGCTCAGGGCACGCTCAGCGCGATGGCAGCGGAAGGGAGAGAGAGAGAGAGAGAGAGATCGGAGAAGTCAAATCCTACCTAACTACAGCTCCACACTGGTCCCGTACCGGGGGCGTCAGCCACGCCGTGGCCCGCAGGGACCTCAAGACACAGACAGCCTACGTCACTCTGAGGCGAGCTCCCTGCCCTACTGCGACCGCGCTGGGCTCCAGCCTGGCGGCCCCGTCCCTTTGCCGGCCGGTCTCCGAGCTGCCTCGGGCCCGGGCCCCGGCGCCGCTCTTTGCTGCGGGAAACCCCGGAGGCCGAGCACCGCCGACAGCTAGGAATCAAAGGATACAGCCTGGTGTCAGCAACGCCCTCGATGTCCTGACCCGTCTCCGCAGACGGGCCAGGACACTTCACGCGTATTTTGGCGAATTCTCTTTTATCCACACGACCAACCGCTGCTCTCCTTGATTTTGTTCCAGGGACCAAGCGGGGCCATGACAGCTCTGAGGAACCGCTTCCTCTGAGCGTTACATCTACTCGTCCCCTCGCAACCGGACTGAGGTGGACTGGACAGGGACTCCTCCAGAGCCAGCCAGTGCCATCTCGGCGGCCTGCTGAGCAGAGGACGTGCCGTGTCCTCGGGGGTCTGCCGGGACCCCGCCGGCGCACCCACCCACACCGTGAGCTGAAACGAAGACACTTACTGGAGACCCCACTGCCTGTGCCTTGTAGGCACCAACGGAGAGCACTGCCAGCTGTCCGTGGGGCCAGGATGACAACTACTGCACAACAATTAAGACTTCCTCTCTGAAATACTGACACGATGCCCACAGGCCTCGGTATTCGGGATCCCGAGGGAACGCATCCTTGGAACATCTCTTGCACTACCGTCAGCTTGCCCCGTGCCAAGTAGGATCGCGCGCTGCAGAACTACGCAGCCAAACTCTGCCGTCACGTCACGTCACGTCACGTCACGTCACGTCACGTCACGTCACGTCACAGCAACACTGACGGGGGTCAAGCAGAGGCTCGGTAAGTCCGAGCGAGCCTGGCTGGCTCTGACCAGACAGAGCCCGTGGTCCAACACACCCTCTCGGCCCAACACAGGCTTGTGGGCAGCTGCACCCGTGCTGCCCACGCTGGCAGCAAGACAGCTCTGCTGCAGCACGGCTCGGGAGCAGCACCCGGGTGAGACGTCGCCGCCTGCGTTTCTTCGCAGAGGCATCACAGAACCAACCTGGGGAGGGCTGGGGAGGGAGACAGAAGACAAAACCTATCTGTACAACCGGCCACAGAGACCTGGCCCTACCAGTGCCTGGGGACATCCAGTGTTCCTGATGGGGCACGGAGGTAAAAGCTGGGTTCGGTTTCTCCTGGAGGGGCGCAAGCCACCGTCGCTGCTGAGAGACAGAAATTCAGATTTCTGATTTTGGCTTTGGGCGTGAGCGACTCCTGATGCACTTGGGGCTAAACTTCGCCAATGGGATGTCAAAGCTGCTCCAAAGATGCGAGACTCGGCCAGCGAAGGAGTTACGAGTGGGTGCGACGGGAGGAACTCCGGACAGCAGAAGGGAAGAAAGCGAGAGAGGACAGGATGAGCCGGGCCTCTGGCTGCAGCATGGAGTGAACCTGAATTTCAAGCAAACGTGGGCAGAGCCCCCGGGCTGGCTGGGCCAGCTCCCACCGCACGCTCGTTTGCTGAGGTCAGCATCACCAATTAGCCTTTGGGCAGCTGGGCAGCAAGGCTTGGCCTGGCCTGGCCTGGCTTGGCTTTCCTAGAGGATAAAATAAGACCTGTAAGCTGCCGCGGAGCCCTAAAGGCAGGCACAGCTGTTGTGGGGGGTCACTGGGCCTCCACACAGCTGATGCAAAGCATCACACGGCCTTAATGCTTGTGCCCAAGTGACCCTTCCACACCCACGTGTGCCCATTCCCCCTCCACAGCCCAGCGTCGAGGCAGCTTGTACAATGGCTACTTGTTTGGAAAGAGTCCAAGGGGGAGCATGGCTCCCCAGAAGGCTGTGAAGTTTTGTGCTTGTTGTTACAGCGATATGGTACGGTGCCTTAAGACCAGAAATGGATCTTTGGACAAGAAATATTTTTACATATGTACAAATGAGAAGTACAAACCGACAGTACAAAACCTACCGTTAGTCACCATTGCGTTACACTAGAAAACGCGGGAACAGTCGAGAGCAGTGCAAAGCAGGTCAGTGCATCCAAATAACCCAAACCGAGAGCTACAACACCGGTATTTGTTACTATGGCAATTGCATTTGAATAGGGTTAGACAACCAATAGTCTATCATACAAAAAGTTGCACATTTTAACACTTACTTTTAAAAAATGCCTTTTTTGCCGTCGTAACGTAGCTCTGTTCTACAGCAGACTGGAAAAGCAGCATGGAGACCAGGTGAACATTTCTAAATAACTTACGACACCAACAGACTTCACCAAGACATGCATTTCACTGAGACACGAGCTAGGGATGCTGACCATCAGCCTGCGGAGGTCAGGGCTCCATGCACCGTGCTCCTGACCAGCGGCACACGCCAGCCTCGTCACGCAACGCGTCTGACTGTAGCGTGTTCCTCTGGGAGGGCCGCAGCGATCACGAGGGGACTCACACCGCTCCTCCTCTTAGCAGCCAGCAGGAGCAAACGCTTGAACACTGCCCAGAGAACCCAGCAGGTCCCAACGCCCCTTCAGCGGCAGGTGCCACAGCAAAGCTTCTGGGCAGCGGAGGACTCAGGGTGGCATTCCCGTGTCCAGCTGGTGTGCTGCTGGCACCGAGTCCCGGAGTGCCAGCGCCCCTGCACACAGCAGGCACGCCACCTCCTCGTGCAATGATGTGAAGCCCCTGACCCACTCTGCTTTGCTGAGGACCGGGCCTCGGGGAATGCGCTGCACGAGCCAGAAATAAAGCAGGCTCCAAGTGGATCTGAGCCAGGTGCAAGCTGCTGCGTGGCCTGGCTTGGAAACAGCAAACGGAGGTTGACCGCTCCCGGGGGCTTGGCTGGGAAGGCCACCACGCTCCTGACTCTAGGGCACGGACGATCCTGCCCGAGGAGGGCAGCTGGGCAGGCCCAATGCAAGCTGGCGCACGATGCCGTTTGCTGAGTGACCGGCTGCGTGGTTAGCCGTGCTCCTTGCGGGTGTTGCCAGCGGGGTCCCGCCGGGGCTCTCCAGTGCTCGGCACGTCACTGCCGCCGGGTGCGACGGGGCAGCAGGACGCACGGAGCAGGGAGGGCTCGAGAGCTGTTGGCTCAGACATGCACAGCTGGCAGCGAGGAAGAGTCCAGGCAGGGTGACGGGCGAGGGCGGCTGGCAGGGATCCACGGTCCGGGTGGCAGAAACAGCATGTACGGGAGAGGGGGGAACGCAGCGGAGGGGCGGCAAGCGTTCGCGACGTGTCCTCTGCTGAGAAGGGGTCCGGTAGCGCTGGGTGCTGGGGCTGGCCGCCCGCTCAGTAGTATCCTCGCGCACACACCGCTTCTCCGCAGAGCCGGCCGCCGCGCGCCCTCAGGACTGCGGCAGCTGCTGGCACCGCGTGGGGCTGGGGGGGAGCGGGGGCCCCGCGTGGGGCTGGGGGGCAGCCGGGCCGCCGCGCTCTGCTCGGTCCTGAAGCTGTAGTCGTACTGCAGGGCAAAAAAACAGAGCAAACATGCCGTGATGGGGATGGGGGTGAGCCAGTGGCGCAGGCCACGGCACTGGGTCCGCGACTCCCAGAGCAGCCCAGGAGCCCAGCCCCGGCCGTGGGGGAGCAGCTGGCACAGTTATACCCAGGCGGGGTGCCCCCTCATCTCCCCGAGAGTCCCATCCTCACGGCCCCCCTTCCCCCATGCATGGAGCTCCCCTCGCCTCCCAGATCCCTCACCGTCGGCAGGGCTGCAGAACGTGCTGGCCCCTGGAGACTTGTGCTCCCGGAGACCTGGGCCGGGCTGCCACGAGAGCAGCAGACTGGTGCCACGTGCCATGCACTATTCTTGTGCAAGAACAGCCGTGTTGGTCCACGGCCCTGCCAGCCCCTACCAGGAGGGCAGTGCCAGCCTGCTGCCTCTCTTCCCCAGCGCTCCTCCTCCTCCTCCTCGAGAGGACGGGTAGCCCAGAGCAGCTCCAGCGTCCGCAGCTCCCCCTCCGCATCTCCGGAGGGGCTGGACAGACAGTTTCATAGTTTCCTAGTAGCTCGGGTCAGGAGGGAGCTGAACAGATCATCTCGCCTGACCCCCTGCCACAGGCAGGAATGGATGCTGGGTTCACAAGACCCCAGACAGGTGATCGTCCAACCTCCTCTTGAATTTGCCCAAGGTAGAGGGGCGAGGACCACTTCCCTGGGAAGCTGGTTCCAGATTTTGGCCACCGTAACTGGTAAATTGCCTTCTGATCTCCAACCTAAACCTGTTCTCCGTCAGCTTATGACCATTGTTCCTCGTCACGCCAGGTGGTGCTGGGGAGAAAAGGGCTCTGCCTGTTTGCTGTTGATCTCCCCTGATGAGCTTGTAGGCAGCCGCCAGGTCCCCCCTCAGCCTCCTCTTGCTGAGGCTGAACAGGTTCAGGTCCCTCAGTCTCTCCTCGTAGGGCCTGCCCTGCTGCCCTCTCACCAAGTGGGTGGCCTCCTCTGGACCCTCTCCATGCTGGCCACATCCCTCCTGAAGTGCGGCGCCCAGTACTGGACGCAGTACTCCAACTGCGGCCTGACCAGTGTTGCATAGAGGGGGAGTATCACCTCTCTGGACCGGCTTGAGATGCACCTTGGGATGCATGACAAGGTCTGGCTGGCCTTGCTGGCTGCGGTCTGGCATTGGCGGCTCATGTTCATCTTGGAGTCAATAATGACTCC